ATGAACATTTTCCTAATTTTGGGTTCAATTTGTATATTGCTAAAATAGATTGAGGTTGCTAAAGGTTTCGCAAAATTGTAGAGTCTAAAGAAGCGCAATTGAGGTATGTATGTCTAACTCTTTTCTTCCTAGAATCGAACTCCTGGTGTCCGAATAATTGGTGTAAGTTCCGACTTGATCTTACTAGAATTATTTGCCTTAGTGCGTTGGGTTGAAAGATTCATGTTCCCTAATTATTTTAGATATTTACCATGCCATCATGCTATTTGAGAACGTAACTATGATTTTTCCAAGCTCCTTCCCTTATGTGTGCATTGCCTTATGTGATGGTGCTTATCGACATGAATGATGACGTTATTTGAACGAATAAAAAGGGAAAGACTTGAATAATAAAATGTGCCCAAGTGTCAAGAACTATTTAATAAATGAGGTTGTTTGTGCCATGTAATGAAAGATGGGAAAGAGATGTGAATTGAGTGGGCAGTTGAAATAGGTTATGTCTCAAGTGAGATGGCTTAGCCGATCGGGCCGAGATCGGACACCATGCTGTACACATGGTGGCATTTGTATTGGGATTATTGAATTACGTTGTGGATATGGATATGTCTCACTTGAGATGGCTTAGCCGGTCGGGTCGAGACCAGACTCCGTGTAATAACACAGTGGCATTGTGAGTTGTGGCTTTGGCACTAAAGATTATTTATCTAAAAAGATGAAAAGATTGAATTGGAAACTATGTGACCCTTGGTGTTTTATTTGTATTTCTATGAAACCCTTATTGATTATTATGACTGCCTTCTCCTTGTTTCACTGTTCATTCTGCTAAGATTGGTGTTTGCCTTACATACTAGTACTATTCGACAGTACTAACGTCCCTTTTGCCGGGGGCGCTACATCTTTGAATGGATGTAGGTGGTTCCATCGTAGATAGTGCCGATCGCAGATAGGTGGTGCTCTCCTTCTCTCCTCACAGCAGTCTTGGTGAGCCCTATTTTTCCCAGGGGTCATGTAGTCCTTCTTTTGTATAAGTTTTTATATTTTGAGGTATAGCCGGGGACTTGTTGCCGGCATTGTCATGTTGCTCTTTTGTACTCTTAGAGGCTCCGTAAACGTTTATGTGGGTTATGTATGTATGTTGGGGTGGTCGTTGGATCGAGTTGTATTTTTGGAACTCAACTATGGCATAATGTATATAAGAAAAAATAAACTAGCAACGTTTATATATTTATATAACTGATCCCCCCCGTTTTACAAATGGTGATGCAATACCTTATTAGATTATGAATGAGTCGGGTAGGAAAGGTTTAATAGGCTTGCTTGACCGGGTTCACTCGGTTGAGCGCCGATCGCTCTCCCCTAGGTTGGGGCGTGACAGTTTCCACTATTCCAATTACCTTGGTTGTTAGAATTCCAATTGCCTTGATTATTTGAAGGTATCCATTATTGTTGACTAGGGCCTTGGAAGTTGTTTCTTTGCCCTTGAAAGTTGTTCACATATTGGACCTCTTCCTCTTGATCATTGTAAGAATCACCTTGATCAAATCCACTATTATCTTGCACAAGACTGTCCACTCTTTGTTGCTCTTGTGGACTTCTCATTCTTCTCTTGTTTACCATCATATTGACTCCCTCCATATTATTGACTTGTCTCGGGTTTTGTACTTGTTGAAGTTGAGCCTTTGCCAATTGGTTCATGGTGGTTGTCAACTCGGCTATGGCTTGCCCATGGTCATGTAATTATTTATGTAGGTAAATCACATTCGGATCACCTTGAGGAACATTTACCCTACTTTGCCATGCCGATGAAGTGTCCGCCATTTCATCTAAATTCTCACAAGCTTTCGCATAAGGTGTTGTCATGAAATTTCCACCGGCAAGTTGATTTACCACACTCTGATTGGTCATATTGATCCCTCGGTAGAAAGTTTGTTGAATCATAACCTCCGTCATGTCATTATTGGGGCACTCTTTAACCATAGTTTGGTACCTCTCCCATATTTCATGCAACAACTCATTGGGCTCTTGTTTGAATGCTAGAATCTCGTCTCTAAGAGTAGCCATATGTCTAGGAGAAAAGAACTTGGAGATAATGTTTTCCTCCAACTCATCCCATGTATGGATGGAATGGTTTGGCAATCTCTCTAACCAATCCAAGGCTTTCCTCTGTAGCGAGAAAGGAAATAGCCTCAACCTTAAAGCATCCTCAGATACGTTTGTCTGTTTACTCCCCCAACAAGTGTCCACAAACCCCCAAGTGTTTGTATGCATTTTGACTCGGAGCCCTAGTGAAGAATCCCTGTTGCTCTAGCAATGTGAGCATTACATATGTGATTTGAAAGTTTCCCGCCCTAATGAGGGGCAAAACTATGGCACTTGCATACCCTTCATTCGACAACACCCAGTGTGGAGCCACTCATGGTGGAGGTGGGGGTGGAACGGGTACATTGTCTTGAGGCGGTCGGCCTCATCTATTGGCTTGAGGTTCAAGAGGGACCTCACCCATTGCATCATCATCAACGTCCACATCCCCCACGGCTATGTTTTCGAGCTCATTGTTTACCATAATTGCACCTACAATACTCACACGTTAGTAACAAGGAAGGAAAAGAAGATATTCCAAAAACACACCTAAATATATAGCTAACACAATTTTTTAGCTCCCCGGCAACGGCGTCAAAGATTGGTCTCGTCCAATTTCACTCTTCTATTTGAGGATATGAAAACGGTCGAAGCAATAGTAATACCCAACAAGAGTCGGGGTCAAATTCCGTAGGGAGCTATGTGAATGGGTGCTAGTAGTATATATCTTAGCGCGTGAGTTTGTATATCTAAATTTGCACTTCCACAATAATTGATTTTGTTTGAAAATCTAAATTAAATTACGATTGCGATTTAAAAAATGAAACTAGAAAATTATTTTTGGTTGTTTTTCAAATGATATAAAAAGGCCTAGGGCTATGACCTTCACCTATGTGTTTGCCTAATGGGTTATAAACTTTAAAGCTTGTTTTATTGGTCGGGGTGTATTATAACTATCAACACTCAAGTACCCACTCACTACCTCTCGGTCAGAGAGTGATTTTGCCCAGTTTGGCTTTCTCAAGTCTAAATGAGTATTGAACAAAGCAGTTGATAATAAGCTCAAGTCGGGTTTTATTATCTCTAGGTTCAACCCTTTAATTGGGCTTATCAATCTCTTGATTGACCCAATTTCTTGCTAGCTAAGTTTTCCTAGACTAAGTCTCTCTTTCTCAAGTAAAGACCAAGTCAAATAGGCATGAAATAATGTTTGCAACCATTAATTCTTCACATAAAAGCAAGAACTATGCTAGATAATCAACACCCAACCATAAATAAGCAATAAATCAAATACCCATTAAGTTTATACACTAGGGTTGGGTTACAACCCTAGTAAAAATCTAGCTACCCATGCTTAAATTGGAAAAAAAGAAGAAGAAGTGATAATTAAACCCATATTGATAATTAAAATGATGAAATAAATATTCAAAAAGCTCAAAATAGTAAAATCTACTAAAAAGAGTAAAAGAAAATCGTCTAATGTAGCAGATGATATCAAAACTTAACCTAAAAAAGTGAAACTCTCCTATTTATACAGTGCTAGAATTTTCGGACAAAAATGCCCTTTCGGAGGTTCTGCGGCCGCACAATTGCATGTGTGGTCTGCACTTTGCTTCAGCCTAACAGGATTGGAAACCTGCGTCCGCATAAGTCTGAACTGCGGCCGCACTTCTCTCTTTCTGCGGACAACACAAATATGTCTGAGGCCGCACCATGCTCTTCTGCGGTCCGCACAAATATGGTTGCGGCCGCATCATACTCTTCTGCGGCCGCACAATAATTATGCGGTCCGCACTCTTGTTGAACTTGAGATGCAGGTTCTCTGAACTTTGACTTTTGCACAATTTCATGTGTGGACTGCATCTTGCAACCATCTATGATGGAATTGCTTCATGACCTATGGCCGCAGATGGTATTCTGTGGACCGCACTTTTAGCTTTTGTGTTATTTTTGTCCTTAAGTTCAGATTACTCATTCTTGTAGTGGATTTCATCTTTGGAGCTCATCTTCCAATATTCCTGCAATTAAGTATATTTAATTAGTTTTCGAGAATACAATTAAGCATTTTTGGACTAAAACGAAAGTAAAAAGATACTAATAAATAGTCAAAATCCCCACTAATCAGACACCACTTACAAAAAATCCTGCGTACGACGCTGATTGGTAGAAAATGTTGATAAGCTTTATTACAAGATAATTCAAATTCTGTGATTATCTAACGTGGTTTAAATAGTAAATTATGTAGTGATGATTCATACAGCGATTTCAACTGATTTGAAGTTTAGTCATTGTCATTGTGGCCGACTGATCATTATTTAACCTTAGATTGTATGATAAAGCCAAGAAACTTCTCTTTATTCATAACACACTATATGATTATTATTACACTGGTCAAATAATCAAAGTTTTTAAAAAAAAATCAAAATCGAATTACAATTGCCATGAACAAGGATTCTCATATGCTCCAAACAAATGATGTGCTATTTAAGTTGTATTGTTTGTATGACGACACTTGGAATCCCTGAGTCTTTTTTCTTCAGAAAGCTTCGTTGCAAACCTGGCAAAAATAATATGTTCCATTCAATAATTAACACCGAATATATATACTAATTAATCTTGGTATTGATAGTGCTGTATATGTAGGATAGTAATGTTCAATAGAGACTTTGAATATTACCTTTTCAAAGTTTCTTCATTTGTACCACCAATTTCATGTGGTTCAAATATACCTTTCTTCAGATTTATCCTTGAAACTGGTTTCTTCAATAAAGTTTCTCCTATTTCAACCAATTTGGCCATGTTCTCTTTTGTTGCTATGTCAACAGACGAGTCTGTTCCACTTAGTGTGTCATCCTAACATTGTTGAGCAACATAATTAATATTCCCATATTAGTCAATATAAAGTCACAAGACCAATAACACTCCTATTATTTCAATATTCTATTTGAAAATACACGTGCATCTCTAAACTAAACAGCTCTGTATAATCCATGTATATATGTGCATGCATAATCATGCACAATCAACCTATAATCTATGTATAATATCACTAGAAAAAGTAAATAGTAAGTCTGGCAGGCTATTTACGTAAAGATCCTGGTGAAAGCTAAATAAAGATGATTATATTGTACTCTTCGCTTCGATATTATCAGTCTTATAAAAAAATTGCACACCCGTTAAAAAATATTGTACTTTTTATAGCCTAGATCACATGAGTATATTTCTAAATTACTCCTTTCATTCAAGTTTACTTGTTAACCATTGACTTGACACACCCCTTTAAAAATAATAAATAGTATGTTAATTTTATTATATCTCTTCTTAAATATCTGAGTTGATAAATACTCAATTATAACAATAATAACAATAACAAATCCAGTGTAATTCCACACAAGTAGGATTTGAAAATGGTAGAGTATACGCAGACTTTAACCCTACCTAGTGAATGTAGAGATGCGATGAATACTCGACTAATAAGGCTATATTTGAAGGAGGGGGGGTGGAGGGGGGGGGGGTTTGAC